AGGCTCTGGGCTATAAATAAATGCCCCACAGGTACAGCCTGTAGTTAGGAGCCAGTTCCTAGAAAGCCTGCCATATGAAGCACCCAAGGTATGTGCCACGATGGTTTGTCACAATAAACAGCTGCGACTTTGCACCTCTCACTGAAACATTATCACCAGTATTACTTCGTGAACGATGTACAGGCTGGGAGACCCACAGGAGGCAGTTCTACCCTCTGTTTTAAGGTTATTAGGAGTCAGAATCTGCTTGATTGCAGTAAGTTGGATGCGGCTTACTGTTCCTAGTATGTGCAGTATGTTCCAGTCTATCTCGATGGGGTTCTTTCGTGGTTTGGAAGCACACAAAACCAAATCCCAAACTCTCTGCCGTCCAGTCAGTGGTGACTCATAGCGACCCCTGTGGGTTTTCAAGACGGTAACTGTTTGCAGGAGGAACTGTTGTCTCCCTCAGAGCTGTTGGTGGTTTCTAACTGCCAAGCATGCAGATAGCACAGGTCTAGCAGGTAACCACTGCACCACCAGGGCTCCAAGCATACCAAAAATATACTATATACTCAGGCAAACGACTGATGGGAGATACGCAACATACCTAACTTTTCCAGTTTACGTACAAATTGGACTTAATGACAGATTTAGACCCAGAATTCATTCATACCCCAAGGCCTATCTGTATATTCCTATAAAATCCCTGGTTGATCCTTGAAGTTCATTCACATAGACAGTGGGGGCCCCCATAACGCCCAGGGGTGAGCAGGAGCTAGAAGGGGGAAGTTGTTGAGCAGATCCTTCAACATTTGAAGATACCTACTGTTTTTTTCCTTCAAAGTTTGACCTGGTGACTTTTAGACTTGTATTTCTATAACGGTGAAACCATTGAGTTTGGTGATTTCACGTAATTAATTCTCATGTCCTTTTGACTCACTCTCACTCATGGCCATCGAGTCAAAACCGACTCTTGGTGGCATTGTAGGACAGGCTGGAACTGCCCCTGTGAGTTTCAAGACTCTGGTTCGACGGGAATAGAAAGCCTCCCCATCACTCTCCCATGGAGCGGCTAGGTGTTTTGAACTGCCAATCTTGTGGCTATCGGCCCAACACATAAGCATTCACTCCATTCCCAGGGCTCCCATTGAGCCAAAAATAAAGTACGCAAAGACAGTCAAAGGCCATCTTGATGTATCTGCGCTCTTGTGATTCTTTTAAACTCCTTGCTAGGACGTGGGGATTTCTTAAGGATGTGTAGTTCTAAATAAATAGAGGTTATTGCTGCTTAAATTAGCATTAGACTAAGTGTAACTGTTGAGTGAAGGTGACATAAAGAATGTCCAAAAGGAAAGGAAAATGTGCGGTCTACTGGAAACTAGGTTTCTCTTCAAAATAGCTGCTGTGTTGTTCTTTTGTCTGCAGGAACATTGTTGTCCCGAGAAAATAAGTTAAGGAATGAGAAGCAACAAAGGAAAAGACCTTCCTCTTGGAAGAACCAAACGCACTTTGAAATGTTAACAGAATGTGATGCTAGCTGCTAAACCCGCCTTTGTCTCCGGAATGGATCAAGTGCTGCAGATTTAAACGGTAACCAGAATTCTCCCGTTGCGTTACTTTTCCTGTAAGAACTCTAGATGGCTTTAAGAAAATGTTTTCCCCCTTAAACTTAGATGTGCCAACGTGTAGATAAAGCTGACAGTGTTCTAACTTATTTCATGTAGTCCGGCTTTCCTTTTAGTCCGTAGCACTTCACTTTAACGTTGATCAGAAGAATAGGCTGTGGTTTCTTTCCTCTCCGGTTACAAACATCTTAACCTAGAAGCAACCACGCTTCTCTGAGTGAGACTATGACATAGTAATATTAGGTTTAAGAGACTCTCCTTTCATAGAAATAGTCCAGGCAACATAAATGCTGAGTCTCCCACCTCTCTGTACCCCCACCCACCGTGGGTTTTATTTTAATCCTGTTTTCTCAACTCTATTTCATGTTAATTTTTCAGCGTCCTTCCCTGGCATCTCGCCTCTGGATCTTTCTGTCTTCATATTGTTCAGGATCAGGCAGTTTTCTTTGGTTCCAGGTAGGGGTCTCTCGCTCTGAGTCAGAACCAACGCCCTCAAACAACGACCTTGATTTTCACCTTTCCCTTTCATTCTCTGTACCTTTTGGTCCCTTTTTAGTTATCTTTCAGGAATGGAAAGTCATAAAAGGCCCCGTGATTCACAAGAGAAAAGGGGAGAGAAAGTGGAAGAGATTGTAAAATTTTTCTATTTGTGAAATTACAAAGACCATTGCATTTCAAGTAAAATGAAAGCAATTACAATAAAGCTGACAAGAGCCAGAACCCGTGTCAGGTGGAAATCTGCCCGAGAAGAAAAGCTCACATATGTTCACGAGAATGGTTGATAGGAAGGTGGTAAGACCGCCCTTTGTCAAGGCGGGAAACGTGAGCCATCCAGAGAACCCGGGAAGCCCTGCCAAGTTCTGGCTGTTCCAGGGCCCACTGTGTATAAAGATAGATTCTTCGTCCGTTGTCTTAAGTCACATTGATTTGGGCCACATTATTTCACGGCATGCTTTGTAAAGACTTCCATTTTTTATGGCATCCTAGTGAATCGTTAGAACGGCTGGTCATTAGGCATTCATTGATTTGGTTCTGAGGGATAATCATTTACTCGAGTGATTGTGCCTTAATACTGTGTGGGTGCCCCTGCCATTGAGTTGGTTCCAATTCATAGCAACCCTATAGGACAGAGTGGCACTGCCCCTGTGGGTTTCTTAGACCACAACTCTTTCCCAGGGCCTCTTTTTTCTCCTGTGGACCACCTGGGGGTTCAGACTCCTGACCTTGTGGATAGCACTCTACCTCGTAACCCGCTACCTTGCCAGAGCAGCCTCTTAAAAATACTGGGCTGTGAAATTCAGGAAATAAGAAAAAGTCAACCAAGTACAGTATTGTAAGAGATCTAATGATTCCAAGGAATATGGGACCTACTTCAAAGAAATCATTCAAGTTGACACAGGTAACCCAGGATAAATAATGTAGCAAAGGCTGAAAGCTCTAATGATCTCTCCTGTGCGGACATTAACCTTGATATAATCACCTCATTCGCAGCGGGGGTTTTGTGTGTTTTTTAATTCTGCAATTACAGGTTAAATCCCTACCTGTGGCATCACTAGAACTTTCCCACTTGTTATCACCAGATTTGTTAGCATAAAAGAAAACTCTTTAAAAAAAAAAGAAAACTCTTTAAAAATGTTCAGAAAGTTCTCTCTACTCCTCGCTCATTAAAACACGAAGAAAAGAAGCAAACAACTTGGAAACAACACAACAATGAAAGTGCTGAGTACTCACTGGTGCAGGTGGAGCATCGGTAGGCAGTCGCCAGGTGCCCTTGTGTGTCAGTCTGGGTACATTAGAGAAACAAACCCACAGCAACTCATATGTAGAAGAGAGTTTTATATAAAGGGTAAGTGGACGTCAAGAAAACATCCCAACCCAGTGCTGCCCAAGCCCATAAATCCAACATTAATCCATATGCCCGACACCAATCCATAAGGTCCTCCTCTATCTCAGAAAACACACGCAATGACACTGACTACAGGAGGAAAGCCGAATCAGTGAGCGTGTAAGCATCTCAGTGCTGGTAGGGGCCTGCACGCGGCTGCTCCAGCACCCAGATCTGCATCGGAGTAGGTCCATGTGGCTTCTTCTCAGGGTGGAACTGGCTATGGCAGCTGCACCCTGGTGTGACCATCACAAAGTAAGAGACCCGAGAACTAGAAAGGTGAGGCTCACCGAGCCATTTATCTCCCTGCCCTTCAATTAACCCCAGATGTGTTTATCGGCCAGGTTGGCACAGTAATCTTTAACTATCTCACCTTGTCTTCTCTGATAGAGATCCAAGTCTTCTTTACATAGTAATTACACTGCTTCTATCATCTTACATCATCACAGAGGCAGTCCAGAACCCCAAACGAAATTTGTCATTAATTCTATTGTGAGACTGTACTACTCCCTAGTTAATTCCACCTCTTAATTCAGATCAATCGCTCAGTGGTCTGTCTGTCTGTCTGTTTGTAACCCTGGACAGGGTTGTTCAAATCCACAGATAAGTGGCACTATTTCCTCTGGACATTCATTTCAACCGTTTCAAAAATTTATTTCCAAGATTTTGTGTTATGAGAACAATTGTACTAGAAGTTGACCTCTGCAAAGCCAAAGAACGTCATCGACTCTCTTACCCAATTTGGGCGTCAGAGGACTTGCATGCACAAAGCAGACAGAACTGAAGCAAACCATCTGCATTTACTTACTATTCATTGCTCAGGCCTCATCCAAGCTGTGTGCTTCCCAAATACCGAATCTCCCCTGACATTTTACGAGGGAGTGGAATCTAATTTCTAACTGTGCAATTCCTGTGGGATAGAAAATTTTGTTTGTAAGCTATCGGGCTACTTTGGAGAGGCTAAAATTCTAAGGTTAACATTTTAGATTTCTGCTTTTGAAGTCTACGCACACACTCAGTTTTTGTTACTTTTTGAGACTTGTGAATTGCATGACACTGTACAGATGAGTTCAGTTTTTCACTCAGTAATTCTTACACATTTTGTTTCAGGTCATTGATCGCAATGCCCACAATGTGACATCACACGTCCCGCCTCCCCTCCTGTGTCCCGTGTCCATCCCTCCCCCTTTCCTCGTCCTTCCTGCCTTCTCAGTCTGCTCCTTGGTAGATGCTGCTGGTTCGATAGCGCATGGTTGATTATTCTATTCGACTGAAAATTGAGCCCCAGGGGTCATGTACTCTATTTCTCCATTTCTTACACTGGCTGAAAGTTATGACTCTTGTGTTTCAGGGTGTATATCTTGCAAGACTGCAGGATTACTCTGGACAATCCAATATCTGTCTGAAATCTCAAACTCATCAAAACTGATAGGCCTTATGAGATCCTCTATGACACTGTCAGGAGAACTGCCCATATTGTAGGGAAGTCTGCGTGTCACTTGCATGCATGGATGCGACAACAATATCAACAATCCTATGGCCAGCTGATATTTTATAAAGGGGCAAAGGCCGTTGGAACAATGGTGCTGGCTCAATTAGACATCCATCCATCTCCATGACCACCATTGCCGTCAGTTCGGTTCTAACTCGGCAAACCTGTAGGAAAGAGAAAGAACTACCTGACAGGGTTTCCAAAGCTGGGCTTTGTACACTGTGCCATTTTCATTCTGTGGAGTAGGTGGCTTCGAACCACCCACGTTCAATAGACAGCCAAGTGCTTCACCACTGTGCCAAGAGGACTTCATGCAACAAGCAAACAAAGAGAACCTTAACCTAAATACAAAAATTAACTCCAAATGGACCATTGTTGTACATGTTAAACTTTTAGAGGAAAATTTAACAAAGCCGTCAGGACCCAGAACTTGGGGACGATGTCTTAGATGTGGCACACCAGCAACAAGTTCCTAACCAAATAGGTTGGGCTGCGTGGGAATGACCAACTTGGGCTTTGTGAAAGTCTGCATTGAGCGAGTGAGAAGACAAGCTACAGAGAGACGCTGCAGCGCACGTGCAAACCAACCAGCTGTCAGAGGAAGGAGCGATACAACATGCTCAAATCTTAGTTGAAAACGTCTTCGCTTACAACTTTAAAAGTGAGTGCGAGACCTGAAGAGACGTGTCACAGAAGAGGATGAACAAAGGGACATATGCACATGAAAAGGTGTCAGACAGCCTTTGCTGTCACATCAGTGCCCATTATGACCACAGTGAGCCATCACTGTACACCGAAGTGGTGTTGTGTGGCTCGTGGCGACCCCATAGGACAGAGTGGAACTGCGCAGTAGGGTTTCCCTGGCTGGCCTTTCTTCCCACGGAGCAGCTAGGGCAGTGGTTCTCAACCTTCCTCAGGCCATGACCCTTTCATACAGTTCCTCATGGGTGGTGACCCCCAACTGTAACATTGTCGTTGCCACTTCATCACGGGCATTTTGTTACTGTTACGAATCAGGTGACCCCTGCAAAAGGGTCATTCGACCCCAAGGAGTAGCGACCCACAGGTTGAGAGCCGCTGAGCCTGTAGGTTCCAGCCTACAGCCTTGCAGTTGGCAGCCAAGCGCCCAGCCATTACACTACCAGGGCCTCCTTGCACAGGTCAGCAGGACAGCTACAATGAAAACCAGAGGGACTCCACCAGATGTGGAGAAAGGGAACCACTCATCAGTTGCCGGGTAAGCATATGAAGTGGTTCAGCCACTCTGGAAAATAGTTTGCTATTTTCTTTTAAAAATGTAACAAACACCATGCAGCTCAAGTCACGATCTGGGGCATATATCCCAGAAAACTCAACCCTAGTATCCAGATAAAGAGTGGCATGCGATTGCTCATTTCAGCTCCTTTTCTGTTAGCCCCAAATGGGCCACAGCTAAATGTTCTACAATAAGTGTTTAAACAAATTATAGACAAGATAGGAGCCCCAGTGGTATCGTAGTTACCTCTTGGGCTGTGATCTGCATGGTCGGCAGTTCGAACCAGCAGCAGCTCTGAGGGAGACAGACTGGGCTTTCTCCTCCCGTCAACAA